ATTACTCAGTATGGCTCTATTACCCCACAAAATGATCCATCTGGTCGTCTAACACTTGGTCCCGTCTATGTGGCTCCACAATTGTGCTTGAATTTAATTTCTATTAGCTCTTTATGCATGGCGGGCCTGTTTGTCTCATTTTCTTCTGATACTTGTATTGTGCAGGATCCACAGACGGGCAAGACGGTTGGGGCGGGTCGTAGGAGGCACAAACTGTATTTTCTGGAATATCTTCACCTTCCAGAGTCCATACGTCCACGTTCTCTTGTTGCTTCTCTTTGTTCGTCAAAACCCTCTACCTCGCTTCCTGCCAATTTATGGCATAGACGACTTGGTCATGTGTGTAATAAAAGGCTGGAGAGTCTTATTCAGTCTGGAGTACTTGGTCCTGTATCATCTAGTTCTAGTATTGAGTCATGTGCTGGTTGCAAATTGGCTAAATTCACTGCTTTACCATTTAAAATGAGTACATCTGTATCCACTTCCTTATTTGATTTAGTACATTCTGATATTTGGGGGCCAGCTCCTTTGCCTTCTTCATCTGGCTACTTATATTATGTTAGTTTTATCGACGATTTCTCTCGTTTTACATGGGTTTACCTACTTAAGAATCGCTCTGACGTACTTACTGCTTATCAAGCCTTCACTGCTATGATTTTCACTCAATGGCAATCTCGTATTAAAGTTTTTCGTTCTGATTGTGCCAAAGAGTACCTATCCTCTGCCATGCGCTCTATCATGTCCTCTCATGGGACTATCTTTCAACAGTCATGTCCCTACACTCATGAGCAAAATGGTGTTGCTGAACGCAAACATCGTCATATCCTCGATACTGCCCGATCAATGCTCATTTCTTACTCTGTTCCTCGTCGTTTCTGGGCTGAGGCTATTCTCACCGCGACTCATGCCATTAATATCACTCCATCTAGCTCTCTTTCCGGTGCTACTCCTTATAGTCGTGTTTATACTCATCCTCCCCGTTATGATCTAGTTCGCGTTTTTGGTTGTCGATGTTTTGTTTTTCTGCCATCTCACGAACGTGATAAATTGTCTCCCAGAGCAGTTTCTTGTGTTTATTTAGGAATTAGTTCAGAACATCGAGGTTATCGTTGTTATGATCCCGCAACTCGTCGAGTTCATATATCTCGTCATGTTCAGTTCGAAGAGGATTCTCCATATTATTCTACTTCTGATGACTTTAATTTCCTCCACTCTACCGATCATGCTTCCCCGTCCACTGCATCACCCACTTCTTCACCTCAATTTTCCTTTCGAGATCTCCCTGACATCTCTCCCTCTCCTTCTGTTGACTCTTCCTCACCTGAGTCTTCTCTTACACCATCTAATCCATATCCTGTGGACACAACTCTCACTCCAGAAAATACTGTTGATCTTCATGCACCTGCGCCAGCATCTCCCCCGCCTGAGGTTCCTCTTGCTCTTCGTCGAGGCAAACGCCCACATGTCATGCCTGCCCGGTATGCTTCTGTTACTTCTTATTCACCTATCTTTCATAACTTTCTTGCTGCCATTCATACTATTGTTGAGCCAAAGTCCTTCCAAGAGGCAGTTCAAATTCCAGAGTGGCGACAAGCTATGGCTGAGGAATTTCAAGCATTTCAGCAAACTCATACCTGGGATATTGTTCCCTGTCCTCCTGGGATCTCTCTTGTTGGCAGTAAATGGGTTTATAAGGTCAAGTTTCGTCCTGATGGCACCATTGAACGTCGAAAAGCTCGTTTAGTGGCTAGAGGTTTTACTCAGCAACAAGGTATTGATTATGAGGAGACCTTTGCTCCTGTTGCTCAGATGCCCACTGTGCGTACTCTCCTTGCGGTCGCTGCTGCTCATCGTTGGCCCTTATACCAGATGGATGTCAAAAATGCTTTTCTTCATGGCTCTTTATCAGAGACCGTATATATGCAACCGCCTCCAGGGTCAAATATTCCTCCGGGACATGTATGTCTCCTTCGTCGTGCTGTTTATGGTCTCAAACAGGCACCCCGCGCTTGGTTTGAGTGTTTTCGCGATGTTGTGCTCAAAGCGGGCTTTATAGAAAGTCATCAAGATGCTTCTCTGTTTGTTCGCACTACATCGCGTGGCAGGGTTTTATTACTCATCTATGTAGATGATATGATCATTACAGGTGATGATATGACAGGTATACAATACGCAAAATCTCAGTTGCAACAACAGTTCCACATGAAGGATCTTGGATCTCTTCGGTATTTCCTTGGTCTAGAAATTTCTCAAGGCCCGCGGGGTGTATTACTGTCTCAACAGAAGTATCTCTCAGATATTCTAAATCAAGCTGAGTTAACTGATAATACAACTGTCGATACTCCACTCCAGCAGAATGTCAAACTTTGCTCTACTGACGGTGAGCCTCTATCTGATCCTACCCGATATCGACATCTTGTTGGTCAGTTGGTCTATTTGTGCATCTCTCGACCAGATATCTCTCATGCTGTTGGTATTGTCAGTCAATTTGTTAGTGCCCCACGTTCTGTACACTATGCTGTCTTATTACGGATTCTTCGGTACCTCCGGGGTACTAGCACTCGCTCACTTTTGTTTCCTGCTACATCTAAGTTAGAGCTTTGTGCATATTCTGATGCTGATTGGGCTGGTGATCCAACTACCAGAAAGTCTACCACAGGTTATTGTATATTTCTTGGTGATTCCCTTATTTCCTGGCGAAGTAAGAAACAAGATGTTATTGCTCTTTCCAGTACTGAGGCAGAGTATCGTGCAATGTCCACAACAGCTAAAGAGATTATTCATCTTCGTCGCCTTCTCAGTGATTTCGGTATTTCTGTTACGACTCCTACTCCTCTCTACTGTGATAATAAGAGTGCCATCCAGATTGCTAATAATCCAGTATTTCATGAAAGGACCAAACATATTGAGATCGACGCTCATTTTGTCCGTCACCAAGTTATCAAGGACAAGACAATTCTACTTCCTCATGTTTCATCCGCTGACGAGCTTGCAGATTTCTTCACAAAGGCCTTACCTGTTCATCGGTTCCAGTTTCTTGTACGCAAACTCACTTTGTTTGATCCAACATGAGTTTGAAGGGGGCTGTTGATAATAGTGTATTGTAGTGGGTTTTAGTCCCACATTGCTTGGGAGAACAAACCTCACACTCCTCTACTTGTATAAATATATGTGCACACTCAATATTCAATTCAAGGGAAATTTACCCAAGATTCTCTCTCTCTCTTACTTTAACAGTAACAAATTAACCACATAGGAAAAAAAAACTTCAAACTCAACAACTAAACTGCAAGCAATATCAAAATTGAGTACACTTACTTCCAAGTTTCAACACTTTGCTACATCCAGAAAAAGGAAAAATAAAAACAGACCATAAAAAACAAAAAGAACCCTCTTTTAAAAAAACAAAAACGCCCTTTCGCTTCTAGAGTCTTGCCTTCACCTCCCTCTCATGTCCAAGTTGGCCCTGACCGTAGGCCACCAGTCAGAGAAGCAAGCCCCACAGCTCTCCTCCTCCTTTCCATAGCCGTCGGTCGACACGAATGTGGGCCCCACCGGCGAGTAAACATAGTAATCACGGTAACAGTAATCATCAAAAGACTCCATTAGAAAAGAAGCATCACCATCACCATGTTTGATGTGACTCATGTCCCCAGCAAGTACTTGATAAATCTTAAATTTAGTTCCTCTAACCCAGGTCGAGCGTTCTTTTTTATGGGTCGAAATCTGGACTCACGTAATGGTGTCAAATTTTAGAAAATCCGCATTTAATTCGTGACCAGTGGGATTTGAACCTGAGTTGCTCTGATACAATCTTAAATTTAGTTTCTCTAACCATTACACCAAAATCCTAAAGTTTTGATGATGATCAATGATTATAGTTTTATATTAATTCTAACAATCAAGAAGATCCAGCACCTCGCAGAACGTGTGTGCATCCGTGTCTTCGACCTTAAACTCGTCGACGAGACTCAAACGGGTCTTATTTGATTCTACAGGCTCGATTTCGGCGTAGTACTCTTCCCTCTTTCTGCTGCATTGCTCCTCAGTGACGGCAACTTTCTCCATAACTCTCCCTTGAATAGCTCGCAGCACAGATAAATTAGGAAGAACTAATGATGATTATTGTACGAAAGAAGAGTGGATTTGATCATATTATGTAGAGAGATAACAGGAGCCGAGTTTGAGTAGGAATCAGATTCGTGGATGGTAATTGGTCCTAGTCCGAAATGGTCCCTGATTGTGTTTAGCTACTAATTTCGGCAGAGTTTCCATATTGAGTTTTGTCGTCCCAGTGCAAATAGGAGTTTTGTTATTTGATCTCCAGGTCACACGTTTCTTTGAGATTAAGAAAGCCGAAGAGAAATCAGTTCAAACATTTGACCTCCAAATCACACATTTCCTTTGAGCAGTTAAAATAAAGACATTAAACAAAATTAATCCTTTTTAATTTGTCCAGCAGAAAAAAACATACGTTTTTAATGGGGGCAAAAATAGAAGAGGAGGTTAATCAATCTTACTTTTCTACACATAAAATTGACAAATAAGGTTCCTCATCTGCCAGGTCAAGATGAATTAAACCCCAAACTGAATAACATAGTAATCTTTTTACAAAGAAATAACTTCTCAATTTATAAAAGAATAAAGCGCACTACTTTATTTTTGTAAATCCCAAAAGAAAGCATACGAATTGAAATATTCTTTTCTTATATAGAAAATTAACTGAAATTTTCTTATGAACAGATTAATTAATTTACCGCCGTTGATTTGAAATTAATTGATTAGCTTAATCCCTTCCTCTTAGACCTGACAATGGTGTTATATCTAAAAATTCAACCAATATGTGGCATTGAGCACCAAAAACACAGCAAGAGTTTTTCGATGGTTCCTAATACTAAACCTTAAGCAAAATAATAACTTGTACAGTACAACATGTAACTTTATTAGCCTTAAATAACGAGAAAACATCTAAAAGATGCCGGAAATGTTATTCCATTTTCTTTTTTTTGACAAACCTGAACTAATCATAAAGATTGCTCAGTTTTAGAAGCACAGGTTTCAATTGAATTCAAATGGGATGCGAGGACAAGAAGGCGAAAAATTGCTAATATGAGAAATATTTGTTAGTTTTCTGAATGTGACATCCTGGCTTTGAGTGACTCGATAACAGCGGAGAAGTCTTGATCACTGAGACCATAAGACTTTGCTACTTTATAGAGCTCATTTGCAGCTGCTGCAATTGGAATTGGCTGAGAAACTGATTCAGCTAGCCCTAAGGCAAGCCTCATATCCTGCCATAAAAAAAAAAGGAAAGGTGAAATTACAAGAGAAAAGATGAAATTATAAGAAAACCTCCGCATATATACCCTATTTTTCAAGAAACCCTCTCATCCAATAAGTTGAACAAAAAGCCTCATCATCTATGATCACTAATGAGACTGTTGGTTTAAATGGAGTTTGGTTGTTCAGACATTTGGACAGACATTCGATAAAAAAATTTCGGTTAATAATACAACAGCTAGATTTAAAAAAAAAATTGTATCCATAGACTGTTTTCTCTACTTCCTTCATTTCAACTTTTAAAATATGTGAATTTTGAAGTGCAGATGTCTTCTCAGATGTCTACTTAACTGCAAATGTCTCCCCAAAATTAATGGTTTCAATGATCATACAAGAGGGGGTTGTATTGAATTTTGGGGCTTCTCGAAGATTAAGTATAGATTGGGGGTTTCTTGTTTGTCGTAATTTTCCAAAAAGTAAAAAAAAAAAAAACCCGCAAACCTTTTGCTGGTGCTTCAAAGGAAAAGCAGTTGGGTACTGGGATTTAACCATTGAAGGGCCTTTGAGCGAGAACATCGGTGAACTTATTGCACCCTGCGAAATTACCTGGTAAAAAAAGTTATAACATAAGTAGAGAAAGACGATTTGTGAAGATGTAGCTTGAAGAAATCGGCAAACAACCTCAACTAGAACATTTGGATCCAGGCCTACTTTCTCACTAAGAAGCAGTCCTTCAGAAAAAGATCCCATCATGCTGAAATCAGGCATAGATATAATCATGAAATTGTGATGCTTGGGTGATTAAACGAATGTTTCAAGATCAGGTCGTAGCTAGTGTGCCCAGTTATATGACAATTAAAGGAAATATCATGACCTTCCCATAATCATGTTGACAACAAGCTTCATAGCTGCACCATTTCCAACTTCACCAAGGTAAAATCTTGACTGCAGGTTAAGTTAAATAGAGGTATGAAAAAAGAGTTTATATAAAGTATAAACATCATCAAGAAAAGGGTAGAAAAGAACAAATTATCAAAAGCCTGAGTCTGGCAATCTTCATCACTCATTGAGATTACTACCATTAACAGAATTATTTCAGTTTAGCAGCCACTTTCATTTGTTCATTGAAGTTCAATTTGGTAAAAGCTCAAGCATGGTTCGATTATAAGCTAAAGCCATAGGCAGAAGTATGAGATCAGCTTAATTGATACAAAACAAAGTTGTAGTTCCTTGAAATACTACTTAAATCAATATTTAGACTTAGCATGAAGAGACAAATACTCGACAGATATATTCCAGAACCTAACTACAAGAAACATAGCCATTTGGCCCCTTATTCATGGTTTGTACAATAATAGTCTTCTTTTACCAATATCTGGTTTCAAAAACTCAGAGCAATTAAATTAATTGATCAAAAACCCTTTTCCAACTAACAAAACCTGTTTGTTAACGACTTTCCTTTTTAACTGCAACTTGATGCATATGAATATTAGTTAAAAAGGAAATGAAGGTTGGAGGAAGGGTTATACCTTACCCATGATGTCTAAGAGTGGTGATACTGTTTCATATAAATGTTGATCACCTGAAAGATGACAATAGAAATTTCTAGTCACGCCAGTATCAATTTATTATACATTTCAGCAAAATAACATAGAAATGTACTATAGTTTAAAGGAACTCATGCATAACAACATAGATGGTATATGTTAATGTTAAGCTAACGTGAAAAGAACCCACGCATATAGATACCTGCAGTTAAAAATATCAGCTGCCCATCTTCTGCAGGCTTTTTAGAGCCTGAAACTGGAGCCTATAAAAAAAGCACTATAATTTGCAATATATTAAAAAACATATAGGTATAACATTCTTATGCTAGATGAAATTCAACACAACAAAACAAAAACAAGGTCACATAATTTGCTAGAAGAAAATGAAAGGGGGAAAATAAAAAAAATGCCTCACCTCTAAATATGATGCTCCTGTTTGCTTAATATGTTGGTTAATTAATTTTGAAGTAGCAACATCAACTGTAGAAACATCCACATATCTGCCATAATTCATCACTGTAGGCGTTAAAAAATGCTAATAGATATCCCAAACATAGAGGAGATCACTCAAAAAATCACAAGAATTGATCTCATACTGTTTTTGGAAAATCAAGACAGGTATGAACTGTAGACAGCAAACACTGTCTCGCCCGCCGAGACAGTAAACACTGTCTCGCCGTACTAATTTTGTCGTTTGTTGAGTTTTTGCAGTTACAGACCCTTAGGTTATAAATACCCCCCTAGGGTCACTTCTGACGGGGATCGAGCATATTTTCGAGCAATCCAGAGCAGAGAGAGCAGATTTGAGTTTTCGTGTGACTCCTTGAAATTGAGCTTTGACTTGATTTTAAGAAGAACGACTATCTTACTTTGATAAGATATCGTTTCAAGTTCTCACTTCGATAAACGAAGTCAGAATCATTAAACCCCCTTCACGATCTGTGATTCGGCGGTCCACGAACCAAAGCGTTCCCGGCACAGGCAAAGTCCCACAAAAACAGGATTCGATAAACGACTTCTGTGTTAGTTTCTCAAGAGTTGTAATTTTCTAATTTTTTTCATTGTAATTCGTTGTAAACGACCAAAGTTCAATAGAATTATCAATGGAAGCAACTTTTGACGCAAACAAGCTGGCGACCACAGTGGGAGGTTCTTAATCATGATTAAGAATAAATTATTCTGATGATTGGTTTTCACCTTGAATAATTAATCGGTTTTGGGTTATCCTTAAAAATACCATGTGTAGTATTCTCCAGGAACTTTCTATTGGAATGAATTGAGGTATTCCACCCCCAGCTCTTTGGTGAATCTAAATCTAATTATATTCGACCACATTGTTGGGTTATCCTTAAGAATATTAGGAGTAATATTCTCTAGGAACTTCCCGTTACATGAACCATCCACCCCCAGCTTCCTTCGTGAAACTGGGTCTAACATCATACTGAGTTACATGACCGGGTTATCCTTAAGAATATTACATGTAAAAATTCTCCAGGAACTTCCCGTCAAGAGTGGGAAACAGTTTAGACTCATATACCTATTGGAGTATCGAGGAGCAGTTTATACTCGTATACTCTTTGGAGTGTTGAGAAGCAGTTTATACTCGTATACTCTTCGGAGTGACATGAAGAAGCAGTTTATACTCGTATACTCTTCGGAGTTAGGGGAAAACAGTTTATACTCGTGTATCCAATGGAGTTAGAGTCGTCTTTACTTGGCTTGTTTCGCCGTTATGACGCCGGAGTCAATTAAGGTTTGGATTTTGTTTTTGAGTCCGAAGCAAATCTCGGTGGGATGAAGAACCCCTCTGTGGTACGCACAGTAGTTTGGATCCATAATTCTCTTAGCTCCCTCCTGATCTTTAATAGGTGATAGCTCGATCTTATCATTGGCGAGGAGGTATTCCAATATGGCTGGAGCTTCATCATATTGGAAAGAATACTCCTTTTGGAACCTCGGATCGGGGGTCGCGTTCCCAGTGATTGCAGATGTCGTCGGTCGGCCTCTCTCAGAATTGAAGCTTTAAGAAAATGTTCAGCTTGTTCACCGCGCATTTTTAAATCTTTTCAAGTTTTGGATGGTACGACCCCCAGGGCTTCCAGGACATCGATCAAGATCAAGATCACAGGGCGACCACAGTGGGAGCCAGCGGCCTCGCTGCCGAGGCCGCGGGGTCGCAACCGATCAAGATCGTTGTCAATGAAGAGATCGAATATGAGTTCGATCAGGCGAAGTTTGAGGAGTATTTGTCATCCTCATCTGCGAAATCTTCCTCGTCTCGCAAATATAGGAAGATTTCGTCTTCTAAGAAAACTTTCAAGTCTGCAATTCCAATGAAGGCCGCAGGCGAAGATTCTTGCCCGATCGTTGCTAAGGAATCTCCCTGCAACGTTTCTGCTCCAAATGACTCAGTACCAATTGAGGAGTCATTGAATCATAGCTCGCCGGTGCTGACGAAGAGGGCTCGTCAGAGACAGCACCAGCGCCGTGCTCGTCAATTGGCTAAGGCCATGCAACAAACCGACGGGGTCCATTATTATGCGGACCTAGAGTCGAGGAAACAGAAAATGACTCAGTTGCCTCAACGGCAAAATAATCATATTTCTGCACAGCTTACGACGGAGGAGTGGACCCTCGTCAAAAGGGCTCGCTCAACCCTTAAAGAACGGATACAAAAGCGTCAGGCGAAGGCCGCCCGTGCTCGCGCTCTTTGTCAACAAGCACAAGGAATCAAGAAGGAGACGGTGTCTGAAAAGCCACCGAAGAACCGTAGAGTTTGGATGCCGAAGACGCCGCAAACATCTGTTCCGGGCCCGTCTACTGCATCATCAGTGAAACCCTGGGTTAGTCCAGATTTGTCTAAGTTTAAAATCACAATGGCGGATCGCCTCGGTCCTTCAGTTGACAATCGAGGCAAAGCCCCAGTCAAGGAACAACCAGATCCTGTAAATAAACCCTTAGTGGTTTCATATGCAGGGGGTCGTAAAAACCCTCCCGTCAGAACTGCACCAGTCCAGAACGAGAGAATACCAGTTCATTCTCGTTTAGGACCTATGAAGATTCCACTCCTGCAAAGGGGTGAATTTAAAAAATCAACTTTGGATCACCCAGAGGCGACGACCAGTCGTCCTGTGCATGTTAACAAAGTTCAGAAGCAAAAGATAGGTTGCTTGAATCACAATAATGATGAGCTATACTATCAGAAAAATAACTCAAGAAAGAGGATTGTCCGAGAAAATGAGTCTCATTGCGCATGCGAGAGACTCATTAAGGCAGTGCTGACAGAATGCGGATGCTCTAAAAATAATTCAACAAGAGTCTCCGTATTTCAAAGATTGTCCAATGAAGCGTCAAAACCCAAAATGAGACGTTTCAACAAGAAAAAATCTGTAATCCGACAAGAGGAGCTTCCTGAGGTCACTATCAACATGACCAATAAAGGAAAGCAAAAATCAGTCAATCCTGACCCTGATTTCTCTCCAGGAGGGAGAGTTGAGCGGGGTCTTTCTCAGAGGATGTCGCGGTTACAAAGAAGAGCCAACCTACGTCGAGATTACAAGAGAATGCACGAGGGGTTATCTTCAGACGAAGCGACGTAACGAAGAAGATGAGACTATCTTCGACGATCCTCCTCCAGATAAAGACAATTCCGGAAGCGGCCCGGCCAAGTCATCTACTCAGCCTCCACATATCTACTTGAAAAAGAGTGAAGAAGAGGACAAGAAGATGCACGATCTTGAAAGCAAAGTTAATGCTTTGATGACCGCCCAAGAAGTAAAGAAAACGGGCATTCCATACCCGTACCCGAGGGAGTGGGACCTGATTCCTTACCCCCCAAAATTTAATTTGATTAACTTTACTCATTTTGATGGCAGGGGTTCACCCACTCAGCACTTGATCTATTTCAAGTCGCATCTCGGCGCAATATCCGGGAACGAAGCCCTGATGGTCCGGTCATTCGTAGGAACCCTTCGCGGGCCTGCCTTCGATTGGTACCGACGCCTTAAACCTGGGAGTATCACTAGCTGGGAAGATATGGAAGGATTGTTCCTCACCAATTTCTTCGACGACGACACGGAGATCTTTATTGGTACGTTGTTGGACGAGAAGCAGATAAATGGGGAGTCGGTTGATGTTTTTGTCAAACGGTTCCGGAACAAAGCAGTAAACTGTCGCGATCCACTCACAGAAGAGTTCATCCTACAGACTTGTCACAACAATTTGTCATTGGATGTGTTAGAGGTAATGGGGGTTGTACTCTCTAAAACTTGGAAGGAGTTAAAGGTGAGGGGTGAACAGGCTGAACGCTTTCTCAAGAGAAAGAATTTGGAGAGAAACAATCATCCTTCCAGTTGGCGCCAAGCCAGAATCAACAGCCTCAGAAACAGTTTAAGAATTCTGAGCCCAGATTCCCGAAGGAATACTCTTTCAAAGATGATGAAGTTCCGGTCATCTTCAAATACTTGTTAGAGAACAACAAGATCAAGCTTCCACCGGTCACAAACCAAGAAGAAGCAACGAAGATCAATGACCCAAAATATTGTGCATACCACAGAAGGGTCCACCATCCTACTAAGACATGTTATGTCTTAAAGGATAAAATACAAACATTAATTGATGTTGGTATTGTGACGCCGAAGCCAAAGGAGAAGAAGGTAGGCGCAAACGCGGTCTCTATTAGCTTCGGATCGGTTCCTTTGTCCTGGTTTCAAGCCGAGCCAGTATCAAAGGTCAAGATGCAAACCATCAACGATGACCCTCATGGACAGCGCCAGAAGGGGCTCGTATCTCACACAGCCCCCAACGGCGAAATCCTTTGGGTTCATCCGGATTTGCTTGAAGATGAACAGTGGACGACATCCAAATCAAAGAAGAAGTCAAAAAACAAGGGAAAAGAGAAGTCCTGTTATGGAGTCTCAGCAATCCCCGAGAAGAATGATGAACGGATAGCAGCTTTATCCCTTTCTGATGAGGAGCAGGAAGTTTTCGCTACACGAAGTGGAAATGAATACCATTACAAATATCCGGAAACTTCTAACCCAAACGCTACAACTTTGAAAGAGTTGGGGATAGCTACAACTCCTCCAGTACCTGCTGAAAAGCCGCAACAACCGGCTAAGCAAAAAGAGAAAGAACCCCAACATAAAGAGGTTCAAATTCCGAAGCAGTCTCGTTTTAGTCGACCGATTGGACGAGACAAACCGGAAAGCTCAAATGCTCCCTACCGTTTTGACGTCATGGCTCAGTTAGCTAATATCCCAGCAAGGATCACGCTATACGAGTTGTTACGCCTCTCGAAAGAAACCAGAGAAGCTTTACAAGAAGCTTTGGCCGATTCTGAGGTATTCCTCACTCAGATCAAACCAACTCCTGAAAAGACAGAGTCATCAGTGTAGCATTGCAATCTGACAGCCACCAAATTTCTTTGCATCGCTTTCACCAAAGAAGATATGCAAGTAAGGAATTCGACGCATGATAGGCCTCTATATTTTACTGGATA